TAACTTGACAGGCCTTGTGGCTCCTGTTCCAGTGGCCGGACTAATAATGCTTCCCTTGTTTGCTCTTGTTTCATTTGTACTCTTGCTGACAGGTCTCCAGACCCTTGCCTCAGAGGTTGGACTAGTAGTGCTACCCTGGGTTGCGTGTCCTGTGCTAGTCATTGCCCCTTGTCTAGCCTAGGGGGTGTGTCAACAAATATTTGAATATGTTATGGCCAGATAGGTGCATGCTCATAGAGAGTACCACACCTTAGGACAAAACCATCCTATATAACTCATTCTAGCTAATTCATTACTCTGAGACCATGGCCGGACAATCGAAATGCATTAAGTTGTATTCAGTTACACAAGGTTCAAGTCCCGCACCTGGTACGGTATGTTCCATTGCACTGGCAGGCCAAGTCTGACTACTAGGCCAGTCCAAAACACGCCTTCCAGCTAGTGTCAGCATGACACGCCGTCACTTAACATTACGACATCACAAATGTCCAGAAAATCCTCGGTCATAGCCTCTATCAGTACCGGCATTGGCAACATGGCCCCTAGTACCGCTTCTGAGGCGCCTAAAAAATCGATTCATCACATCACAAATGTCCAAAAAATCCTCGGTCATACCGTAATCCCCCGTATATAACACCCGTCGAAATAGTCGCTCCGTGGGTGGTTTACGCAGGGGAGAGCTAATGATAGGGTGCATTTTGGAGAGCACCCGCTTTTCGGGGGTTGCATTTTTCGTAACAACGTGCTCGTTTTATGCTCGATTGAAAAAAACAAGCAGGATGAAAAATGCAATGTGAACTACCATCAGCAGCGAAAAAAACGGGCAGAAGAATCAACACAAGTTGCAGCGCGAAATGGAAACGTCAGCGAAGGTTGAGATTTGGGAGGATTTCAACCGTCGAAGCCGCTGATTCTGCTATGATTTGACGGTCAAAATCCTCCCGATCGAAATCCTCTCAGGTCTTGACGGTCGCAGGTGCAGCACGAAGCTGGCCCAGACCACAGCACCAGGGTTTCAGCTAGGATTTTAGGCCGTCTGACGTTCAGACGGGGTTTCAAACTTTCGTCTGACCATCATACAATTTTTTTTTGCCGGTCTGGCATTTCAGACGAAACATTTGGCACGATCTGACAATTCAGACGAAACGTTGCGGGAGTTTCAGTATATAACAATGCCGAATGTGCTACATTATAGTGCTACACATACAACTGTTACACGTCGTTAGCATCCATTGAAATTGCATCTACCGTATATGCTAAGAATAGCTGGAAAAAACTCTAGTGCTACTGATGCTCCACTACCACAACCTACATTAGGAATTAGCCTTATACTAAACCATGCTGTGCCATACCATCATCTGCCTACTCGGAGTCTGAACTATCACTTCCGACCTCCTCGATGTCATCATCATCACTGTCGCTCTCTGAGACTTGCACCTTCTTGCCCTTGCTTTTCCTCCTCCAAATTGGGCCAGCCGCACCATCCTCTTCAAACACCCTGGCTGCTTCTGCTGCTGCTAGCGCTTCTGCCTGCCTGGCTGCTTCTGCTGCTGCCTTTGCCGCCTTCAATACCGCCGACGTCTTGGGCCGCTTCACCTGCCGTGCGGTCTGATCCATGACAACTTCCTTGGCAGGTCGCCGCTTCTTCGTTCCACGCCAGCTAGCCACCATACTCCCCCAGTCCATCGGGTAGTCGAGCAGCGACACCGTCATCAAGTGGCCTAGCTTCGCATCACCGAGATTGCCGCGCTGCCAGCTTTTGATGACGTTCTGGCGGCTGAACCCGCGCTCACACTCCACTGTGCTGAGCGGCAGCACGGCACAGGCAATCCAGATGAGAACCAAATTGGGGTAGGCAGTCATCCAGTCCGGCGTGGAGAGCACGTTCTTCAGCGCATCGTGGAAGCCCAGCTCGTCGTTGTGTGTCGACATAATGGTGGTGAAACTGACGAGCTCGGCCTTCGCCTTGCCCCAGTGGACACCTGAAGGGGGGGTGAAATAGAGGCACAGAAGCCTTCGTTAAATATCTCAAGCAGAAAACACCCGAGCCATGGAGACACTTACAACCCCTTAGAACTCACCCGGCAGAGTGTCAGGCGCTGACGCATCACGCTTGTAGAGGCCGCGCAGAGACTGGAGCCATTCGAGAAACTTCCTCTGGCGCCTCGCAGTGGACTTCGGGTACATCGTCTGCTTGAAAAGTCTTGTGCCGTTGAGCTTCGATAGATCCTTGAGGCGTCCCTGCAGGTGGTTGATGACACCCTTGACGACGTCCGTGGCGAGCTGCTGTAGCGACTTCAGATCCCCGTTGCTCCGCTGCCCATCCAGCGGCTTTGTGTGTAGAGTGTACGTGGGCACAGTCGGCGCCCCGTGTGCGTCAATCCCCTCAATCGTCACGTCCTCACCCCCCGCGTACAGATGCAGAAAGTCGACGAAGTCCCCGTCAGGTGGGCCGAACTGTGTGTTGTAATTTACGTAGCGTGCGCGCAGTGTAACGACAGTGTTGTCGACCATCCGAAGAACCTGGGTGACGTCGACCTGCCATACAAAGACAGAAAGGGGAGATGGTTTTGCTCGTTAATCATCACTCTCCTAAAACCGACGACATGACACCATGTGGCTTACCTGGCGACGCTGGAACTTGAGGTTGAGCGTGTTCAGCTCCCGCAGCATATCCGCCAGAAAGTACAGCAAGAAATGAAATTTCAACGAGACAACTACGTGATACATCTTCCTATCATACTCGTACAGCAGGAGGATGGCCGCGGGAAACACATCAACAAGCCGTTGGATAGCCTCACCGCGACTAAGCCAGCGTATCTGGTGAATGCCTTGCATTTCGAGGTTAGTTTCAGTGACGACTTCCTGCAGCTCCTTGAAACGGTTGTGTACGACGATGGATCGGCCGAGCACCTCGGCCAATGACCGCACGACCTTGTCGACGATGCCTAAGTCCGGGAAATCATCTGCAGTGTCCTTGGCAGCAAGAGCCTCCCTGCAGATTAACAGAAACACTTTATTAGTTTCGAAATAATCTTTTAAAATATGCATTGTTATAGAATGTTAGAATCACCTATGCGCGATGCAGTGGCAGGAAACCAGGTGTGGAATACGGGTGCGTAGCCTAGCCACGAGGCCTGCCTGCGCACCCATCATCACACTGGCTCCATCGGTGCTGATGCCGCAAATCTTGTTGAGCTCGACGCCCTGAGACTCGAGGTGGGTGAGCAGAACGGCCTGCAGAGATGCGGCGTCACACTTCTCGACGGTGAGATGCCCGAAGAACTCTGTCACCACCGTCGTGTCACGGAGGAAGGTAAGGTAAACAATCATATGTTTACCCCGCCGGCGGTCGGTTGACTCATCGAGTTGGATGCCCAAGAATGGTGAAGCCCTGATGTGGGTCATTTGCTTGGCTCGCAGGTAAGTGACGATGTTGTCGACCACCTGATTGAAACCGTACCTGCGCATGCATAATAGTACAGTGTCAGCCTTCTAGAAAGCACGTAACAAATCAACAGTATATCGGGTTGGTATCACGTATAACACTTTCTCGCTCTGGTAGGTACCGTTGTCCTTCACGGGTAGGTCTGGTGTTCCCTGCTCTGCCATGAACTGGAAAAGTGACACAAACAACACAACGGGGGCGTCAGATTTGCAGAGGAACATCACAATCGCCATGAGTCGCTTCAGTCGCTTTGCCTCATCGTTCCCGTTCTCGAAGTCGACGATGGACTTCTGTTTCACATTCTTGCCATCCTTCTGCTCCTTCCGTGCCATCGCCGCCTCGTGCTTTTGACTGTGGTGGTGCTTGCGCATCGTCTGCTTCTGTATGTCGATGCCGCCCTCGCCGTTGCGCCCATACTGGTAGTTGGGGTCGTTGTTGTACCCCATACAGATGCTACACTTCATGCATGGACGCCCCTCAGAGGTCTCGGAAATCAGCAGCCATGGGAAATACCGCTGCCACTGCTCCTTGGCTTTCAACTGGAGCTCGGCGACTGTGAGGGGAAAGGGACCATCGTCGTCGTCGGAGTCGGCGGGAGATGCTTCGGAAGACCGGGATTGCACCTGGACAGAGGGTGTAGACTGAGCCACCGCTGGTCGGCCAAACGTAAGCTTGCGCTGTCGATACTTCTTGCCAGGAGCGCGAACTGGTAGGACAGGACCGCGCGTCACGCGTGAAGGGGAGACGGCTCGCACGGTTGAGCAGCCAGGTGTTGACGACGGGTTAGGCGACGTTGGAGCATCACACGTAGAGTTTTCTTTGTCAAAGAAAACCCACGGCTCGTCATCTAAGGGTGGGAGAGGCGACGGAGGTGCTTCACCCACGGCTGCAACCGGAGCATCGCCGCTGACGGCTCGGTTCAGCGCGCCAGTGAGGAGATCTAGACCACTAACAAGCGGAGGGGTTGAGCCAGGGGGCTCCAAGCCTACTATTGACTGCCTAACTGGGGAGGGGATCGACTGCGCTCTCTCTGACGCCATCGCCGTCTAGCCACAGAGCTAGAGGGCGTCTAGGCAGGGTGTGCGCTGAGCAAGATTGGAGCCATGCTGAGGGGGCTGGAAGAACGAGGTGGAGCAGGACAAGTGGCTACGAGGCTTTTCCCTTGGTGCCTTTACGACCAGGCGCCTCGCTGAGCTGCAGCATGGCGAGCGAGGTTGCTGCATGGCTACGAAACAGCTCTGCATTGCTGGCTCGCGGTGGGTGGCTTTCCTGGCCGCACCACTGTGCGCTGCCACATTGCTGCCAGCTTCAAGATGCAAGGAAGCTGGCAGCCGTGCAAGTGACGCACTATCGGACGAGCGATTGACAGCAACCTGAGTCAGGTTGCTGCCGATTTCATTTCGTGACTATGCGCTGGCCGTCGCGGTGCGCGTGGAAATGAATGCACCTGCCCACCGACCAGGACCAAGATGGCAGAGTGTGGGCCACTGGGCAGGTGACCCATTGGCACAGTGGGATAAGAGGTGATTGCTGTCAGACGAAATTATACGCGCTATCTGACATTTCAGACGAAAAAGTACACCAAGTCTGAACTTTCAGACGAAATCTTATGACTGAGATGGACAATCAGATGAAATAATTCACCCCGTCAAAAAATCAGATGAAAGCAAAAAAACAGGTCTGATTTTCAGACCATCAGACGGATTTCGTCTGATATCTGAGACCCTGCACAGCACTCAGCAGGGATTGGCCAATGACGCCTGGTTCGTAAGTTTCGTCTCAGCGGATGATATGCCTCGTTAACAGCCGCTCCGCGCAGTTGTGAGCTAACATGGCCTGGAGCACTCAATTTCAAATTGCATTTTACATAACACATGGGCACTATATTTTTTCGGGCCACTGTTATGACCCTATCATTTTTTTTAGTGAATTTTTATATACATCATAGGGTGTTATATACGAGGGATTACGGTAGCCTCTTTCACTACTGACACACATGGCCCCCAGTATCAAATTATATATATATATATATATATATGTGTGTGTGTATATGTATGCTTGATATGCTATCGAACTCTACTGTAGAGGGTACAATCCCCTCCTTGTGTCCTCTCTTTCTATTCTGACCCTCTTTTCTCTCGTCAACTTTCTCCTTCCTAAACCTCACGCCATTCCATGGCTTCCCTCCTACCTAGCTTAGTTTAACACCCAATACCACTTTTTGAGGCACCTCAAGAGTAGACTCATGATCACACGCGGATTTTTTTATGTGCCAAAAACTGACGCATCATCACATCACAAATGTCCAGAAAACCCTCGGTCATAGCCTCTTTCATTACCGGCACGGCCCCCCCTAGCATGGCCCCCAGCATGGCCCCCAATACCACTTTTACCACCCCCACCAGCACCAGCACCAGCACCACCACCATCCCCACCAGCACCAGCACCAGCACCACCGCCACCATCACCACGCGAAAACATGTTTTTCAAGATTTCGCAGCTGCGTCGGTGTGGCGTCGTCGATCGCCTATCGCTGCTCTCCACGCCATCAGCACCTGCGGCCCCTTCTCCTGACTGGAGCGTGGAGGAGGGGGAACTGCGCCTTAGAGGCGCCTCCTGGGAAGAGGTTCATAGGAACACGCTCTTAGCCTCTTTCAGTATTGGCATGCCCCCCAGTACCACTTTCACCACCACCACCCCCACCAGCAGCACCACCACCAGCACCACGCGAAAACATATTTTTCAGGATTTGGCGGCTGCGCCGGTGTGGCGTCGTCGATCGCCTATCGCTGCTCTCCACGCCATCAGCACCTGCGGCCCCTCCTCCTGACTGGAGCGCAGAGGTGAGGGGGAACTGGGCCTTGGGGGTGGTGGGATCCTGTTCAAAAAGAGTGGGCGGACAGGGGAGGAATGCCACGAGTCGTAGGGGTTGAGAACAGTTCTGAGGGGTTGTCGATCGCCTATCGCTGCGCTCCACGCCATCAGCACCTGCGGCCCCTCCTGCTGACTGGAGCGCAGAGGAGGAGGTGAGGGGGAACTCCGCCTTGGGGGTGGAGGGATCTTGCTGGATTGGCGTGGGAGGAGAAGGGGGGATGTCATAGTGTGCGGGGTTGTGAACAGTTCTGAGGGGTTGTGAACGGTTCTGAGGGGTTGTGAACAGTTCTGAGGGGTTGTGAACAGGTCTGAGGGGTTGCCGACCATATCTCACTGCCCTCCACGCCATCAGCACCTGCAGCCCCTCCTCCTGTCTGAAGGGAGGAGGAGGAGGCGAGGGGGAACTGGGCCTTGGGGGTGGAGGGATGCTGTTGGAATGGAGTGGGAGGAGAAGGGGGGATGTCATAGTGTGCAGGGTTGTGAACAGTTCTGCGGGATTGTGAACGGCTCTGAGGGGGGTGGTGGGATCCTGTTGGTATGGAGTGGGAGAAGAGAGTTCGCGTTTGTATGATGTGCTTTCATGAAACGTGCATGTTTCTATCCGTTTGTGGGCATGTGCATGTTTCTATCCGTTTGTGGGCATGTGCATGTTTCTATCCGTTTGTGGGCATGTGCATGTTTCTATCCGTCTGTGGGCATGTGCATGTTTCTATCCGTTTGTGGGCATGTGCATGTTTCTATCCGTTTGTGGGCATGTGCATGTTTCTATCCGTTTGTGGGCATGTGCATGTTTCTATCCGTTTGTGGGCATGTGCATGTTTCTATCCGTTTGTGGGAATGAGCATGTTTCTATCCGTTTGTGGGCATGTGCATGTTTCTATCCGTTTGTGGGCATGTGCATGTTTCTATCCGTTTGTGGGCATGTGAATGTGGGCACATGCATTACTGTGCACTTTCTCATGTGAGCCGATGTGTCTGCAAGGTGACTTTGAGTCGACTCAAAAGTTGACACGGGCACATGAGTTTGTCTCTGCAAGGTGTCGGCACGGAGGACTGGCGTGGGAGAGGGAATGCATAGAGGAGGGGAAGTATGATCGTTTCACATACTGTAGGGTCGTGTCTAAGGTAACTTAAAATTACCTTGTTCTGCTGAGAGTGCGCGTCTCTGTGCCCCATGTGTTGCGAGAGCGCGTGGGGGAGGGAATGCATCGCGCCAGAGTAGAATTGGTTAATGAGAATTCTCAAAAACCAGTTCGACTATGAGAGGTTGTGCGAGCGAGAGAGGTTGAGGGAGTGGGACAGCTTCAGACAGTAGTACCTTTGTTGTTCCGAGAGTGGGAACCCCTGTGCACCCTGTGTTCACTTTACCTTGTTCTGCCGACAGTGGGAACCCCGGTGTCCGCCCATGTGGTGCGAGAGAGAGAGGGGGAAGGAATGCATGAGGCCGTGGGGAGGGGGAATGCTTCACAGACTGTAGCATGTCACCTCAGACACTACTTTCACTTTACCTTGTTCTGCCGACAGTCGGAACCCCTGTGTCTGCATATGTGTTGCGAGAGCGAGAGGGAGAGGGAATGCATGAGGCCAGAGTGGGAGGATCGCAACTGTGAGAGGTTGTGCGAGCGCGAGAGGTTAGAGGAGTGGGAAAGGTTGTGAGAGTAGTACCTTGACAGTATTCCGAGAGTGGGAACCCCTGTGCCCTCCCATGTGTTGCGAGAGCGAGTGGGAGAGGGAATGCATGAGGCCAGAGTGGGAGGAGTGGGGCTGTGAAAGGTTGTGCGAGCGAGAGAGGTTAGAGGAGTGAGAGAGGGTGTGAGAGTGGGCGAGATTGTGGGAGTGTGAGAGATTGGGCGAGTGTGAGAGGTTGTGCGAGTGTGAGAGGTTAGGTGAGACTGAGTGTTTTCTAGACAGTAGTTTGTCAGCCGAGTGTGGGGTTGTTGCTGATGGGTTGAAGGAGAGTGTGGAAGAGGAGGAGAGGGGGGCCGTAGAGGAGGGAAAGGAGGAGGGAAAGGAGGAGGGAGAGGAGGAGGAGGAGGGCAGGCCGGCTAGGCAGTCAAGCGATGCACGGACGGAAGGCACACCTGAAGCAGGGTGAAAAGGGGTAGAATAAAGACAGAAAATCAGCTCGACGGCTATAGTTGATTCAATTCTGAAAACGCTAAAAAAACAACTTTACAGCTCCACAGCATGCACAAAGCTAGACGAACTCTAGGTTTTCATGCCCTTATTGTTCTGAGAGCTTCTTAAGAATTCTTTAAAAAGTGCACTCCACAACGGCAGGTACAAAGCCAGTCACAGAGGAACAAGAGATCCTACCTCTGGCGTAATCACGCACACAAATGCCGCGGGGCTGCTTTTTTAGTCGACTCAGAAGTCTAATCGTGAACACAAATGCCCCAGTGCGGGCTGCTTTTGAAATGCCAGTCACAGGCAGAAAGATTGATTGCAAGCAGGGGGGCGTGTAAACAGCATCTGAGTAGGCAGCTTTTGAGCAAGCCATTCTTGTAAGGAGTTGTTTGAAAACGGTGTGCACTCACCAGCCGTGGCCAAGTGAGGGATAGTGGAGGACGAGGCGAGGCTGTCAAGACTGCAATGGGCACACGCAGTGGCGGGGACAGGTGGGGGAGGGACAGGTGGGGGAGGGACAGGTGGGGGAGGGACAGTTGGGGGAGGGACAGTTGACGGAGGGACAGGTGGGGGAGGGACAGACAGTCTGGCATGGCTCGAGTCAATCCAGTGGATATACAGTCTTGTGACTCCGTTCCGGCACGTGCGCCCATTGCTTCACTGTTGTGAGAGTCAAATGGCTCAGAGAATTCCAAAGAACGACTCCTGGTGGTTTAACCAGTTTCTCGCATCCCACAAAGGGGAGCTAAAGGCACGGAGGACTTTCGAGAATACACAAAAAGAATTTTGAGTTATGAGTCGACTCGAAGGACTTTTGAGTTGACTCAATAATTCTAAAGAACGACTCCTGGTGGTTTTACCAGTTTCTCGCATCCCACAAAGGGGAGCTAAAGGCACGGAGGACTTTCGAGAATACACAAAAGAACTTTGAGTTATGAGTCGACTCGAAGGACTTTTGAGTTGACTCAATAATTCTAAAGAACGACTCCTGGTGGTTTTACCAGTTTCTTGCATCCCACAAAGGGGAGCTAAAGGCACGGAGGACTTTCGAGAATACACAAAAGAATTTTGAGTTATGAGTCGACTCGAAGGACTTTTGAGTTGACTCAATAATTCTAAAGAACGACTCCTGGTGGTTTTACCAGTTTCTTGCATCCCACAAAGGGGAGCTAAAGGCACGGAGGACTTTCGAGAATACACAAAAGAATTTTGAGTTATGAGTCGACTCGAAGGACTTTTGAGTTGACTCAATAATTCTAAAGAACGACTCCTGGTGGTTTTACCAGTTTCTTGCATCCCACAAAGGGGAGCTAAAGGCACGGAGGACTTTCGAGAATACACAAAAGAATTTTGAGTTATGAGTCGACTCGAAGGACTTTTGAGTTGACTCAATAATTCTAAAGAACGACTCCTGGTGGTTTTACCAGTTTCTTGCATCCCACAAAGGGGAGCTAAAGGCACGGAGGACTTTCGAGAATACACAAAAGAATTTTGAGTTATGAGTCGACTCGAAGGACTTTTGAGTTGACTCAATAATTCTAAAGAACGACTCCTGGTGGTTTTACCAGTTTCTTGCATCCCACAAAGGGGAGCTAAAGGCACGGAGGACTTTCGAGAATACACAAAAGAACTTTGAGTTATGAGTCGACTCGAAGGACTTTTGAGTTGACTCAATAATTCTAAAGAACGACTCCTGGTGGTTTTACCAGTTTCTTGCATCCCACAAAGGGGAGCTAAAGGCACGGAGGACTTTCGAGAATACACAAAAGAATTTTGAGTTATGAGTCGACTCGAAGGACTTTTGAGTTGACTCAATAATTCTAAAGAACGACTCCTGGTGGTTTTACCAGTTTCTTGCATCCCACAAAGGGGAGCTAAAGGCACGGAGGACTTTCGAGAATACACAAAAGAACTTTGAGTTATGAGTCGACTCGAAGGACTTTTGAGTTGACTCAATAATTCTAAAGAACGACTGCTGGTGGTTTTACCAGTTTCTTGCATCCCACAAAGGGGAGCTAAAGGCACGGAGGACTTTCGAGAATACACAAAAGAACTTTGAGTTATGAGTCGACTCGAAGGACTTTTGAGTTGACTCAATAGATTTCTAAAGAACGACTCCTGGTAGTTTAAGCAGTTTCTCACATTCCACAAAGGGGAGCAAGAGGCATAGAGGAGAGGAGCGAGGGCGGGGAGTGGGGTCTATTATTTAGGCGGCTCAAAAACGACTCCTGGTAGTTTAGGCAGAGTTTCTCACATCCCACAAAGGGGAGCAACAGGCACGGAGGGACAGGAACGAGGGCGAGGATTGGGGTGGAAAGTGAATATAGGCGCACTTATAAATAACAGCGCAGCCGGGTAAACTGAAAGAAAAAATACACACCTTTCTGAAGGGGGAGCAAGAGGCATGGAGGACAGGAGCGAAGAGGAGGAGCAGGCCGTGTAAGAAGAGCCTCGAGCGCCTGGAGCAGATGAGATGAGAAATGGAGGAAGAGAGGGAGAGGGAGGTTATCTCGCGGGCGCCTAAATCATGCAAGAACGAACAGGGAGACGCATGGAGGAGAGGAGCGACGAGGAGGAGCAGGCCGTGTAAGAAGAGCCTCGAGCGCCTGGAGCAGGTGAGATGAGAAGAGGGGTAGAAAGAGAGGGAGAGGGAGGTTATCTCGGGCGCCTAAATTATGCAAGAACGAACAGGGAGACGCATGGAGGAGAGGAGCGACGAGGAGGAGCAGGCCGTGTAAGAAGAGCCTCGAGCGCCTGGAGCAGGTGAGATGAGAAGAGGGGTAGAGAGAGAGAGAGGGGGGGGGAGGTTTTAAGGAGCCTGCTTATGACGCGGCGTTTTTTTTTTTTTTTTTAGGACTCTTACTGCTCCTGCTATTACCATCTTTTTCTCTTGCTGTTACTAGTGCTCCTGATACTGCTGATGATATGGAATGATATGACATGATGGGGATCAATGCCATGATATGACATGATGGGGATCAATGCCATGATATGACATGATGGGGATCAATGCCATGATATGACATGATGGGGATCAATGCCATGATGTGACATGATGGGGATCAATGGCATGATATGGCATGATATGCTGACAGATCGCAATCAGATTAAAGCGTGCAAACAGTACCGCAAAACACGTATGGAATACACGTACGGAAAGGGAGTTGCACAATAACCCGACCTGTACTGAGTTTTGAGATGCCTCAAAACTGAGAACAAAACGCATCTCGTGTGGGAGATGCAGAATAGCCCGACCCGTACTGGAAACACTCTCTTTCCATAGAGGCTGCTGCCGGTGGAGCTACCGATGCTATGCTATGAGATGATGTAAGTTGGTGATGTGAAGCAGACGAGCCAGAAGAGCCAGATTCGAGTATGCACCAGACTCACCTCGAGTGGGGGACGTGGAATAGCCCGACCCGTACTGAAAACACTCTCTTTCCATAGAGGCTGCTGCTGCTGGTGGTGCTACTGATGGTGCTCGTGCTGCTGCCAGTGCTGGTGTTGCTGCTGCTGTTGCTTCGCCTATTGTTGGGCGGTGGAAATGGAGGAGGAAGGCGGATTGAGAGAAGGAGGAGAGGAAAGGGGAGAGGAACGGGGGGAGGAAACGAGAGAATTGGAAGACGAGGGGGAGGGCAATGGAATCAAAGATTTGGGAGCGCCTTAGCTAAGATGGTGGGCAATCATGCGCCAAGGAAGACGAAGGTAAGAAATTGCGCGCGCCGAGTTCAACAATGAGACGGAAACCACAAAACAGGATGATGTCAAGTATGGCAGGCAGTGAGGAGTGAACCGACCTGGCAGCACTCGCTCTTAGGAATGCGACTTGATGCCTTGGGTCTGCTGCTGCCGGTTCACTGCCAAGGTTCTTGTACTGATGCTAAGTATGTCAGGCAGTGCAGGGTGAACCAACCTGGCAGCGTGTAGCTCTTGGGCATGCGGCTTGATGCCTTGGGCTGCTGCTGTCGGTTCAGTGCATTGCGACCAGAGTACTCCCAACATGCTCGCACGCGCTGCAACCGAGAGGGGGGGGGGAGGGGGGAGACAATCAAACAAGAATAAGAGAGTTCGAGAGTCACATATAGGCTGCTGCTGTCGGTTCAGGGCATTGCGACCAGAGTACTCCCAGCATGCTCGCCCCTCCCCCAACCTCTCCCCCCTCACACACACCTCACCCCAGCTAACAAAGATGCGAGATGGCAGTAGGAGAAGCGCGGGCGCACACACACACACGCACGCACGCACGCGCATACCTCAGCAGCTGACGCCACTCTGACGTCAGCAGCAGCCAGCTCCTTGGCCTGCTGCGAGACGGCGTCTGTGAAGCGGTCCGCAGCAGAGCCGATGCGGTCCACCACTGACACCAGCATGCTCACTGCGTAGTCACGCACGTTGTTGAGCTCTCTGGAGGGAGAGAGGTGGGGGGGGTGGGAGTAGAGCAGACGGAGCTTGTGGAAAGTGTGTGATCTGCAGCAGAGCCAAAGTGATCCACGACTGAAACCAGCATGCTCACTGCGTAGTCACGCAGGTTGTTGAGCTCTCTGGATGGGGAGGAGAAGGGGAAACAGAGCAGAAGTGATGAGACGAAAACCGCAGCTGAGCCAATGCAGTCCACGACTGACGCCAGCGTGCTCACTGCATAGTCACGCATGTTGTTGAGCTCTCTGGAAAAAAAGGCACAGCAGTAGAGCATGGGATTTGTAACAACCAATTGTGCAGGATAGATGGCATCTTCAGCTACATTAGCACCAAAATTAAGCTAGGGAAAGAAAACACATTAAAAAAAAAAGAGCAATGGCGACATGAAAAGATGTGTAACGCTTACATGTCCTTCTGGTCCGTGACAAGATAGGCCTCCTCTGCATACGTGGCAGCGTCCAATAGGGTGGGTTGGAGGTCGCGAAGCTCCTGTTTTAAAAGGCGGAGTTTTTCACAAGTGATGAGCCTCTTTCAAGGCCTCAAGAGATGGAATGCTGATGAAATATGACTTCATGATGAAGAGCTTCTCGAAAAGCAGAGTGTTGAGTCGACTCAAAAATCACCTATGGAATGATGATGACATATTACTTCATGATGAAGAGCTTCTCGAAAAGCCCCAAGCTCCTGCACGTGACGGCCAGGCCACCTGAATGCTACATATTTGTAAGGTATTTGCTACACATTTGTTTGGTATCTACCGCACGCACCTGAATGCTTCGCTGCAACATCTTGTCGAATGGGTCCAAACTCGCTGTTGACATTCCTGGTAAGAGGGAGAGTCGAACCCGCGACCACACAGTCCACAACGAAAGGTGTCCACGAAACAATCAAGAACAAGAGCCAGACATTGCTGTTGACCTTGCTGCCAACAAGGTGACCTAGTCAAGAACAGAATTGAGAAGCGTGGCAGCTAGAGCTATTGATCGATGTTAGCGCTAGACCTTGCTGACAGCCGAATTGCTGACGAGCTGAATTGCTGACGACCTGAATCGCTGACAGCTGAACTACTGGGAACGAGCAGAAATGCATGTGATCAATGTTAGGTGGACGCATAGATGGAAAAACTAACGCACTTGGGCAAAGCGGCCCTTCTGGCATGAAATGATTACTCCTGGAGCCAAAATCGAAGTTACCCTACCGGCTGCTGGTTGCGGAGCGGCGACTATGCCGTGAGATCCCATCGTAATGCGCTGCAGGTCAGTGCGGTCCGAACTTATGAAACCTGTGTAAGTCTATATTAAAGTAGTAACTTACGGCGACGACACCTGTGACACGGGAACGATAGGCTTGTTCAGACCCGTCCGCGGTTTCCCTTTCAATTAGTAACTACCCTTGTATACGCGCTCGGTCAATTTCATGCTAAATTAGTACAACAAAAATAAAGCGAGAAACGAAACGCGACGTCGCGATGTCCTGCCTCCTCTTTCAACGAGTGATTGCACTACACCCCCGCAGAACCCCCGTATCAAGCTAGGAATGGAACTCTGTTGGCACTATCTTCTCATCACACAGCGCTCTGTGTTGTGTCTGCTTTGGGGGAGAGCTGTTTGAGTTTGCCTGCATACCACTTCTACCTCACTGGTTGTTTCCAGTCTTGGGAAGCTGCTGAGGTTGCTGTCCACACAGCCTCAATTGGCCTGGACCGAACCTCCAAAGATCAGCTGGACCAGGTGAGCCGAGCCTGTTCTCTGCTTCTTGGCTCGAACGGGCCAGATGTGTCTTTTATGGGAACCGTGCCAGGCAAGTCTGGCACATTTTGGAACTTTCAAGAGAGGCTGCGCTGGTTTGGTGAGTGGAGGCTCGGGGACAAACCTGGGAGAGCTCGGGCAGACCTCGGGAATGTCGGTGTGGCTTGCCAGACGCGGCGCTGACATGGCGCTTCACGCGAAGCGCGTGGCCTCTTGTGAAGACTCGCTTGGTGCCTCTTGCGGTACAGTACTAATGCAACGACTGCATGCATAATTCAGTTCCTTCAAGTACAGCTTACATTCGTGCATTTTAATTTCACTATGGGGAAGCTTATGCAAGCTTCCTACAAAGAGGTTTAGAAAAACGTTACAGGACAATTTCTAAGCAGAGATATCAAATCAAGCTTGATTTTAGGTATAAATAAATGTCGAAAGCATATCAACGCAAGTCGGGGAGGGACAGTCACTTCTTGAGAGTGGTGGAGTACATGAGGTCTCCAAAAACGCCATAAAACGAGACTGTAAGGGAGTCCCTAGAGACTTGCATGGCACTGAAACCCTGGCCAGGAAAGAAGAAGCGCAAGCCTGGAGCGACGGGGGGGGCATCACCTCGCCACGCCTTGGATCCCCCACCCACCGTGAAATAGTGAACCGGACTGGCAAGAGTCGTGGACATGAGGGAAAATAGAACGGCTTTAGTTTAGTACTTCTCAAAGGTCCCCAGATGTTATCTGGGTATAAGCTGTGGTGAAAAACGAGAGACGTGCGTATAGTGCTCTATGACCCACCTGTCATCCTTTTTTATGTGCTGCATGTTGTGATCGTGCCCGTTGATGTAAACGTCAACGCCATACTTCTGATATAGTCACAATAAAAATGGAACAGCATAGAGGGCGTTGAGGCGAGAGTGTGGCGCACGTGCTTGCTTTCGCACGCAAATATGTATAGATGGCTGACACACGAGCAACAAACTCTGCATACCAACCAACTCTCTCGTTACAACTCCAATTCACGAAAGACCCTCTCAAGCTCCGGCCTTACCTCTAGCAGCGGCTTCATCTTCTCAACCATCTCCTGCTGATCCCCGTGCTTCCCATAGCTGGACACAGGGTGCTGTGCACGCACCCATTCCACCAGAGCCTACCCATGCCTCAAATGCTTCCCATGGCCCAGCACACATCTCAGACGTACCTCAAGCAGTGGTTTTATCCTTTCAACCATCTCCTGCTGATCGCCGTGCTTCCCGTAGCTGAACACGGGGTGGTGTGCCCCCACCACCTTCCACCGCGCCTGGGAGTTGCTCAGCCAGCCTTCCAGCTCCTGGCATGCGACAGGAGGCATTCGAAATATGTTTGTGTGTGTGTGTGGGCGTGCGCGCATGTGCATGTGCGTATGAAGCTGGGAGTAAAAACTTTCAGCTGAAACACTCACCTGCAGCTGAGCCTCCTCCTGTCGGCTCCAGTTGCCCGTGTTGACCCCCCTCCCATCCAACCCCCTATAGTCCACGAACCTACTTCCACTGTCTTCATCTCTTATAACACTCACCTGCAGCTGAGCCTCCTCCTGTCGGCTCCAGTTGCCTGTGTTGAGCCCCCGCCAGTCCACCCTCCTCCCCGCCTTGTGCCGGTACGCAGGAATCAGAGGCATGGAATCGTACAGAAACAGGTCAACAAAGTCAACGCAGTCAACGCCCTGCCCACCAGAGTCAATGTGGTCACCGCCCTGGGCACCAGAGTCAACGCTCTGCCCACCAGAGCCGACAGAGTCAACAGGGTCAACGCCCTGCCCCTTGGAGCCAACAGAGTCAAAGTGGTCAACGTGGTCAACGCTCTGCCCGTCATTTTCAGCGCAGATGGGCAGGGACAGGGCCATGCTGCGGCGGCAGGTCCACCGAGGGTCGCGATTGGCCAAGGCGGGGTGCAACTGGGCCAAGACATTGCCGTAGTAGTCGTGGTTGCCGAGGACTGAAGGATAAGGGATGGGGGAAGCAAGGGGCGGAGGAAAAAGACGAACAAGGGTTTCGATGGGCCAGTGCAGGCTGGAGCTGGGCCAAGACATTGCCGTAGTAGTCGTGGTCGCCTAGGACTGGAGCAGAAGGGATGGGGGAAGCAATGGGGGAGGAAAGAGAAGAAGGGGGGTCGTGATTGGCTAAGGTGGGGTGGAGCTGGACGAACACAATGGCGTAGCAGCCATGGTTTTGGAGGAGTGGCGATGAACAGGGGTTTTGTGATTGGACAAGGCAGATGGATTTTAGGTGGATGAAGTTGGGGCCATCACATTGACATAGTAGTTGCAAGGCACTTTTGAGAATTCTCAAATTTACCCTGCAAACTCATTGACATAGTAGTTGTAATTGCCATTGTACTAGCAGGATCGGATCACAAGGGAAGGGGGAGAGAGGAGGGAGGGGAAAGGGGAAGGGGGACAGCGATTGGCCATGGGGGGCCGGAGCTGGGCCAAGACACTGCCGTAGTGGCCGTGGATATCTACACTCCTAATCAGCAATTAACGATATGCCTGCGTATCAGAGCAGAGGACACTCACCATACCAGCACATGAGGCCTTCCTCACCTGCATGCCAGAGGTGACTCCCCAGCACAGAGGCCCTTCTCACCTGCATACCAGGGGATCTGCAGGCTGCGGTGGGTGTAGATCTCTGTGAAGGATTGCGAGAACTGCCGGGCATTCACGTCTGGCAGACCCAGCTCGAGGAAGTTATCCCCCAGAGAGACAACGAACTGGGGGGCCATGTGAGCGCCGATCAACCCCATCTGAGATTGGTGGAAGGGCGGACAGAGAAGCGAAGACCATGGGACAAGTTCTGGAAATTCACGTCATGTCTGATTGTTGGGGTTTCAAGTTGCAGAATGGGGAAAAGAATGCTGAGGGGAAAGAAGTCATAGGAGGCGGAGGCATAGGAGGAGGAGGCATAGGAGGAGTAGACATAGGAGGCAAAAGTGCCTGAGTACCTGCTTGGCGATGAGGGACTGGTTGAACGTGCCGTTCCTGCCCCAGTCTCCAAACGCAAAGAAGCGAACAGGCGCAACGTTGTTGCGCAGCCCTGGTTGCATCGTCGCATGGATCTGCACGTGGGGCTGTGGCTGCATCGCAGCATGCACCTGCACGTGCAGCGGGAGTGGTTGCATCGCTGCACGATCCTGACTGTGCGGCTCTGGCGGGTGCATCGCAGCAGGTATCTGCAAGTGTGGCGGGAGTGGCTGCATCGCTGCACGTTCCTGACTGTGCGGCTGGGGCAGCCTTGGCCTTAGTAGCAGCAGAATGATGGCGAAAAGGCAGGCGAAGAGGGAGAAGGAGAGGAGCAAGGGAAATCTTTTCCGAGCAGGCCGAGGGGGAGTCTGCAATGGAAGGGCGAAGGCGGGGGCGGGGGGGAGAGGGAGAGGGGGAGTGGCTGGAGTGACAGCATTGCATTGCTGTAAGTATCTGTCTGCTTGGCCGGAGCAGCCCCCCCCTTAGCAGCGGCAGCATGATGGCGGAAAGGCAGGCGAAGAGGGAAAGCGAAAGGAGGAAGGGGACTCTTTCCCAGCATAGCGAGGACGGGTCTGCAATGGACGGAGGGGGGGGGAGGGGGGGATGTGGGGTTGGGGGGGAAGAGAGGAGAGACAGAGGGGGGAAGCGAGAGGGGGGAAGCGAGTGGGCAGGGCGAGGAGGAGATCAGAAGCAGAAGTTTCAAGAGCCTGTCAGATGCAACTCGTGAAATGAAGGGCCTGGGTGAATGCAGGGTGGAAAATTCATCCGCAAAAGGCCCTGTCTTATGTAGGCGTGTGTAATGAGTCTATTTTTTAGTCGGCTTGAAAACTATCCTCAAAATAGACTCTTGAAATGAAGGGCCTGAGTGAATGCAAGATGGAAAATCCATCGGCAAAAGGCTGTGGCTTATGTAGGCGAGGGACCCGAGACATATGTTGAGGCGACGCTCGAGAGAATGTTTCGTTAAGCGAACAGTGCTAGTAGCGGTGCATTATGGACAGAACAAACGGTGCCGCATAAGACGAAATTCGTGACAATGATGAAAGCAACTAGCGATGCGTCACAAGAAGAGCACGCATTGAGAGAAACGGATGATAGCTTTTGAGTCGACTCAAAAACAAGAAGGGCACGCATTGAAAAAAACGGATGATAGACTGCGGATAGGAACGACCAGGAAGACAATGTAGGCCGTACGGCGCCAGCGGCACGAGAGGGACAGGACGAGATGTAGTTCTTGATACGTCACTGCCTCGTTTCCTCGTCCTCCCGTGACGTCATGACCGCATTCTGTCGCCTCTTCCCCTCACACCCCATTCCCCACACCCATTCCCCTCACCCACATTTCCCCCCAAATCTCGTTACCTCGTGACCTGGAGTACATCACCTAAAAAACTAATACCTTAGTATGCGTCAGCACCGCATTACCTCATTATGCGCCAGCAGAGGATCCATCAGCGACGGTGGCCCCGGAAGAGACGCCAGTGAGACTGCCACGTGACGATTTCCCGCATCTTGCGACTCTTCACGTGGTGCGTCCATCGCAATGGACTCGCTATAGAAAGGTCCACGATAACTTATCAGAATCCACTTCTAACAGAAACGCCACGGTGGACTCCCTCGAATCACGCTCAAAGGGGGGTTCAACGTTCAACTTTCTGCTTGCTCCTCAGGTGTCTCTCTCTGCTTTTTTCTGTCAGGAGCTCTTGAATTCAAGATTCTACTGCAGAGCAGCAAAACTTCAAGAGCTTCGCCTCTCCAGACCAGGCACCCTTGGGAATACCTGCTCCGCAATTTATGGGACAGGCAAGCAGGTGGTGGCAGGCAAACCCAGACCCCGAATGGAGACGGAATTATCGAGTCAGCAACTTCGTGTCAGTAAACCAACGCAGGCCGAGCGACTGGCTCGAAACGCTGTCCACAAGCAATTCAGAAGCATGAAAAGTTCGTGACACGCAAATAGATTGTTCTTTGAGCATGCTGGTGTCGTACACGAGGTCTGGAATACGGCCCCAGAGAAATATTGGTGTTCCTTCATGTGGTATGACAACGGAAGTTCCTTCACGCTTTCCAAGCTCGTAGATGCTCACGAAGTGTAGAGATTACCTGCTAACATATTTCGGCTAAGATATATATTACTATGCTAACACTAATTGTCTCTCTAATATCAATGTGTCCTTCAAGGGGAAGGTGAAAAGGAACCCTTAAATATTGATGTCCGGATCTTCACTCCATCGGCTGTTGCCACGGATGCAGCATATCTGAACAAAGCAAAACACACACAAAATAGAGCTTTCGGCTGTCAAAGGTTCCACATGAAGACAGGCATGCCGTGAATGTGACAAGACATCTACAACCGAATAGGAGAGCAAAAAAGCAACAACGAACAACATAAAACCCAACAAGAGACATGGAATGGGGTACATACGCTTCGTCGAGGAGGATGCCATGTGCTGCGACTCCTGGCACCGACTCAATCTGGCGCGCAACATCCCCTGCATAGTTGGTACAAAGGAGATAGGAAGTAGAAGGGTGAGCCTCCCTACAAACCCTTCACATGCATACATCCGTTTCCTTCAAAACACTCGCTCAGGTCTGCAATGGGAGTCATGAAAATGACGTCCAGCACAAAGTCCCCATTCTCAGTCACCCGAGAAACTCCCCCCCAACAGCCCAGCCATGCAGCCAGACCACCCTAAAAGCACGCAGACTAGCCCACAAGCACACCCCTCTCCACAGAATCACCATCACATACTCAAGTCGGCAATGGGAGTGGTGAAGATGACGTCCAGCACAAAGTGCCCGTTCTCCGTCACCAAAGGGAACTCCCCGCCCAACGGCCCTGCTGTGCCGCTGGTGGGCCTCCGCCACACCTCTGCATCGCCCAGGAACAGATCGTCAATCTCCTCGGCTATGTCCAGCCAGTTCTCCTGGTGAATGAGCAAAACGAGAGAGGGGGAGGGGGGAGGGACAATGAGTGAGCCGCTGGTGGGCCTCTGCCACACCTCCGCATCTCCAAGGAAGAGATCGTCAATCTCCTCAGAAAAATCAAGCCAGTTCTCCTGGAAAGACAGAGTGCGCACAAAAGGGGGAACTGGGGAAATGACCGTGCTGCTGGTGGGCCCTCACCACACCTCCACGTTGCCAAGGAAGAGATCGTCGATCTCCTCAGCAATATCCAGCCAGTTCTCATGGAAAGACAGTGTGCTGCGCACACACAAGCGCAGCTGATGGGCCTCCAGCAGGCCACCGCAAATTGATGACCCCAGGAACGGAGCATTGACTCCCCCGGCCCAGGCTTATGCGTCACGCATAAAACCACCTGCAACCATCAATCAACGTCCATATCGTTACCTAAAACTCTCATTTCACCCCTCACCTGCTCGACTTCAACGGGCACGTCCCCCCCATCGATCAGGCCCTCCTCACAGTGCTTCTCTGAAAGCACTTTCCCATCCCTGGAGCCTGGAGGGCACCCCGGCCAAAGCTAACTCCTAGCACAATGGCAGTTTCACCCCCCACTTGTTCGATTTCTTCAATAAGAGCTTTCCCCATCTCTGGGAAGGCCCATCGGCCAAAGCTAACATGTAGCACAATGGCAGTTTCACCCCTCACCTGCTCGATTTCGACAGGCACTTCCCCGGCTATCAGGCCCTCCTCACAGTGCTTCTCTGAAATCCCTTCCCCATCCCTGGAGTGGAGGGTACATCGGCAAAAGCATGTGATAATAATTTCGTTTTGAGACGTCTCAAAACGAAATCATTATCAATCAGGCCCTCCTCAAAGTGCTTCTCTGAAAGCCCTTCCCCATCTCCTCCTGAGTGAAGGGTACGTCGGCCAAAGCAACTTCTAACACATTGACAATTTCACCCCACACCTGCTCGATTTTAGCAACAAGAGCTTTCCCTACCTCTGGAGGGTACATTGGCCAAAGCTAACTCTTAGCACACCTACAGTTTCTCCCCTCACCTGTTTGATTTTAACAGGCACTTCCACAGCTCTGGAGCGCACATCGGCCAAAGCTAACTCCTAGCACACCTACAGTTTCTCCCCTCACCTGCTCGATTGTCTTGCACGAATTTCCTCACCTCACCCTCCTCGATTCTCCCCTCACCTGCTCGATTTCAACAGGCACCTCCCCATCGATCAGGCCCTCCTCAAAGTGCTTCTCGGGCACAATCACAGCGAAAGTTTCAGCTGCCCGAGCCACGGCCTACTGCAGCAGAAATGGCAGGTATCGTGTGAAAGCAGAGACACAGCATAGGAAAAGAATAAGAAAGCCAAGACCTCATGGGAAAACAAAGAGAGAGAAAGAGTGAAAAAACCACTAACACTAAGTTATATGGGACAGATCTCCATGAGATTGGGTCAGGACTAAACACCAACTACTGCGAGCAAAACCTCAGTTGCACCCACCTTCTCTTTGAAAACAGAGCCTCGTTTCGTTGGGATGTGGCGGCCAGCTTTCTTCCTTGACCGAACCATCCGCCTTACTTGCTAGCTACTGAGTGTGAAATCCCAGTTGCACCCACCTTCTCTTTGAGAACAGAGCCTCGTTTGGTTGGGATGCGGCGGCCGATGACAGAGAAGAGAGTGCCCTCCTGCACCACATCTGCATCTGTGAAGGCGAAATTGAGCTGAGAGGGGGGAGAGGGGGGATGTCAGGGTGTGAAGTAACGGGGAGGGGTGAATGGGAGAAGGGGGGAGAGAGGGAGAAAGAGAGAGGGGAGATGAGAGAGGGGAGATGGGAGTAGGGATGACAGTAAAGTGAGTTCCCTCCTGCACCACATCGGCATCTGTGAAGGCGAAATTGAGCTGAGAGGGGGGAGAGGGGAAGGGCGGATGGTAGAGAGCGAAAGGGGAGAGGGAAGAGGCGGGGGGGGGAAGAGAGTGGGGGAAAGAGAGTTCCCTCCTGCAGCACATCGGCATCTGTGAAGGCGAAATTGAGCTAAGAGGGGGGGGAGAGAAGGGGCGTAGGGGGGAAAGAGGGGGGGAAGAGGAGGGGGGGGGAGAATTTGACGTGAGAGGGGGGGGGGGGAGGGCGGATGGAGGGGAGGGGGGAGATGAAAAGAGTGGTGGGAAGAGAGTTCCTTCCTGCACCACATCGGCGTCTGTGAAGGCGAAATTGAGCTGAGAGGGGTGCAGGGGTGGGGGGGGAATGAGGGGGTGACAGAAAGGGGGGGGGGGGGGGGGGGAGAGATGAGGAGAGATGAGAGAGAAGAGATGGGAGAGCAGAGAAGAGGGTGTCCTCCTGCACCACATCGAGAAGGCGAAGTTGAGCTGAGAGGAGGGGGGGCAGGGCGGATGGAGGGGAGGGGGGAGAGGAAAAGAGTGGTGTGATGGGAAGAGAGCGCGTTCCCTCCTGCACCACATCGGCATCTGTGAGGGGTGCGGGAGGAGGGGGTAGGGGGAATAAGGATGCAAGGAGGACTATAGGCCACAACGAAGAGAATCAAGAAGGAAGCAACAAAGAGCTGAATAAGATAAGGTATTTTTTAGAATTCTCAAAATAACCCTGCAACGAAGGGAAACAAGAAGGCAGCAACGAAGAGCTGAATAAGAAAGTAAGGACTCGAGGTCACAAGCAAGCAAAAACTTTGAATGTAAATTGAACAAGCAACTGGCACATTCGGTTGTGAATTAATAAGGTAAGCGGTGGTACCTTTGGATGTGTATCAAGAGTTGACATGGTAGACCCCTGCTTGAGCGAGCTCTGCTGCTGCTTCGAGAGAATTGATCACTCGCTGTGCACGTGAGGGGCCATCGAATGTGACTCAAAGGAGGGGGAAGCAGCAGTACCTTGGGATGCTCCTCCGGAGTCGACATCATGGCCCCTGCTTGAGCGAGCTCTGCTGCTGCAAGAGAGAGCTAGTCATTCAAGGCGCATGTGAGGAACCTTTGAACGTGACTCAAAAGTGGAAGCAGTACCTTGGGATGTGCCTCGAGAGTTGACATCGTGACCCCTGCTTGAGCGAGCTCTGCTGCTGCTGCTGCCGTGCTGCCATGCGCCAATTCATGTGTCAATCCATGTGTCAATCCATGCGTCAATCCATGCGTCAATCCATGTGTCAATCCATGCGTCAATCCATGCGTCAATCCATGCGTCAATCCATGTGTCAATCCATGCGTCAATCCATGCGTCAATCCATGCATCAATCCATGCGTCAATCCATGCGTCAATCCATGCGTCAATCCATGCGTCAATCCATGCGTCAATCCATGCGTCAATCCATGCGTCAATCCATGCATCAATCCATACGTCAATCCATGCATCAATCCATGCGTCAATCCATGCGTCAATCCATGCATCAATCCATGTGTCAATCCATGCGTCAATCCATGCATTAATCCATGCATCATTGCGTGCATCATTCCATGCATCAATCCATGTAGAATGACAACATACAGCATAACATGCACCTCTTCGAATTATTCCCAAGGTAAAAGACAGCAATGTTCTTTATTCAATGGGAAAAATATAGTCAGCGATATGCCATTCCTGTCAGCAATCAATTTTGCCGAAAAGTGGCAGCAAAAGATAACCTTTATTCGCATTTAAAACATAGGTCGGGTAGTGTACTTACGTGGGGACAGCAATGATATCTCTCAATGATCCGCTCTGAATCTTGCTAATGAGGTGGGTGACAGCAAGGGAGGAGCCAAAGCCCGACCCCACCCCCACCACCATGCCACTACGGACAAAATCGTCCACCTGAGCGGAGGGTGGGATTTGGGGGAGGAGGGAAGGGGTGGGATGGGGGGGCGGGGGGAAAGAGATGGGGGGGGGGAGTAGAAGAAGGAAAGGGGGAAGGCAGCAATGACAGATACCGTACAAGCGGAAAGTGGTTGGTTTGGCGACCGACGATTTTTGAGGCGCCTCAGAACAAGGCAAGGCAGCAATGACAGATACATGCGGATAGTTGGCGACAGACAGAGGGGGGTACAGCAGGGGAGGAGCCAAAGCCCAACCCCACCCCCACCCCCACCCCCATGCCACTACAGACAAAATCATCCACCTGAGGGGGGGTTGGGTTGGGGGGGAGGAAGGGGGAGGGGGCCGGGGAAGGGGGGGGAGATGGGAAGGAGGGGGGGATTTAAGGAAAAGGGAGTGGGGACGAAGAAAATGTTTGAAAAACGGTAACTTAATCAGATCCCGAACAAACCCACACCTTGAAGCAGCTGGCTGCAGAGCGAAGGACGCAGCCACTTTGAAACTCTAATGCAGTTTAAAGCCAGGAACCCAAGTTTCTAGAACCTGGGGCAAGTGTTTTTCAGTTGGTTGGAAAAAACCAGGTTTTGTGTCGCGAGGGTGCGTGAATTGCAACACTCGCAGGCGATTTCACTGGTGCCTACAGCTCGCCGGCCAATCGCGTCTTCCAGACTCGACCCCGACCATTGTTGACATTGTGCAAGCGGGGGGGGCGAGAAGACACGCGCGCTTCCAGGCGGCGGAGGTAGCGCGAAGACCCGCTTCCAGATGGGGGGAGCGCGAAGGAGGGAGGAGGGTCAGCGAGCTACTCACCAGTTGCCGCGCCGCGTCTTCCAGGCTCGACCCCGACCCCTGTCCTCGTGGCGAAGCCATCGCAACGACTCCGACCCTCCTCATTGACCGACAGCTGCTGACGTGGCTGACCGATGCGGGAACACGTGGACGTATGGATGCGGGTTTTGGGGTAAAGGAAGAGGCTGGGAGCGAGGAGCGGTACCGCAACCCGGCTTTAACGTCGAGCCGCACGGCGGAGAATGTTGCGACCGACATGACGGCTATGCTACTGTCGGGTTTGCCAGCAAGCCGTCAGACACACATCAGAGTTACCGTTTTGGTCTCTTTGTGGTAGGTAGGCAAACAGCTCAGGCCTGATGTGTCAAATTCAGGTCAGGCAAAACTCAGGCAGTGAAGAAATAGTTTACATGATACAGTCTGTCTATCGTTCCTGTCATACGTAGTTCAATGAGAACATGACATGAGAACTATGTGAATAACAGAATACACATCTAGCAAAAACTCTATACCACTTGTAACTTTCCAAGAAAAACGACGTTTTATCACTTGCGAACTTCTGCTTTGTCATTATATCTATATCAATGGCGCACACAAACTTTCTTCCAACACCTATATTTTGACATAACATTTTCACAAGCAACCTACACCCTTACTCTAGGATGTGTATGTTAGGTGTGGGACTCTAAACTTCAGGGGCCAAACATTCTTGGCCGTTTATTTGCCTCCATATAAGTGAAGCTTGATACAGAGGCAGTATCAACAGAGGACTCGTCAGAATATCAGCACGGAGAGTCATCACCGATGTCGACCTTTCTCTCGGGAATGGCAGGAGCAAGGAGTGGCGATCTGGTGGTTGCAGATGCAGCATTGGATGCCGACCTAGACGATCCGGGCAATGCAGCAGCAGCAGCAGCAGCAGCAGCAGCGAAACCCCTCCATTCTCCACCCTCAAACCCTCCATTGTTGAACTCCCCATCCTTTGATTCTTTGTTTCCCATAAAGAGGATACTCCAAGGGGGGCAGCACCAGCACAGCCATGCAGATTGCGGTCCAAACGGCTTCTCGAGGCCCGATTCCACATCGTTGCTGTTGGGATTCTCGTAATCAGAAAATCTGTTGGATGAGCCTTTGTCGCTTGGGAATGGCCAGGAGAGCAGCTGGCACATCACGAGGTACAGGGGCAGAAACAGGCTCCACAGCATAGCCCTGCAGATGCAATGCGGGGGGGAAAGGGGGGATGAAGGGATACTTTGAGTGCTACGATGGAGACAATGCTTGTGGCAATGGAAGAGGAACAAGACAGGTGAAACAACGCAAGGGAGCTATTAAAACAACGCGGGGGGGGGGAAGGGGGGAGGGGATGAAGGGATACTTTGAGTGCTAAGACGGGGACACTGCTTGTGGCAACGGAACAGCAACAAGACAGGGGGGAACAGCACAAGGGCGGTATTAAAACCGGCAAGCAAGGAAAAGAGCAGAAACGGGCACAGGGCAAAACAAAACACAGCATGATATAGACCACAGGGCACTAAACATCGGACAGGAAAGCAAACAAAAAAGGGCGTGGGTGGGTGCAGCACCGTGCCTGAATTGGGCAGCGAGCGTCTTCTTCTTGGCCTCATTTTGAGGCTCTCAAAACAATATCAGTGAAAAGGAAAAGATGCAAACTACAATGGGCGTGGGTGGGTGCAGCACCGTGCCTGAATTGCGCGACGAGGGTCTCCTTCTTGGCCTTCTCATGCTGCACGTGCGCCGATCCCGGCAGCTTCACATCGCTGCTGCTCTGCACCCACTGCTCCACGGGCACCTGCCTCTCCGCCGCCTCAAACAGCTCCTCCAGGCACGCGTTCACCTCGTGGGTGCGCTCCCGCACCACCATGTGCGCCCCCAGCAGCGGGATGAAGCGTGCCACTTGCCCCAGGCGCTTGGCCACCCGCTCTCCCAGGGAGACATGGGCAATGATGTCGTCACTGTATATGAGGGAGGGAAGGAAGAGAAGGAGAGAGAGTCAGGAGCCATTCATGCGCTCGCTAAGAGTGCGCTCCCAACAGCGGGATGAAGTGCGCCACTGGTCCCAGGTGCTTGGCCACTCTTTCGCCAAGAGAGAGAGGGAGAGAGAGAGAGAGAGAGAGAGAGAGAGAGAGAGAGAGAGAGAGAGAGAGAGAGAGAGAGAGAGAGAGAGAGAGAGAGAGAGAGAGAGAGAGAGAGAGAGGGGGGGGGGGGAGAGTAAAAAACCCATACTGAAACGCCTGTATCTAGTCACATCGAATAGAGTCACTCACACTCCGTGGATGACGGCTGTGGGGATGCGGGCGCTGCAAATGCTGTCAATGTTGCCCCGAGTCAGCTTGTGCGTCCAGCAGGCGTTGAAATGCCCGCTCGTTGCGTGTGGCAGCTGCATCGCCCCTGGCGTTGACAGAACCTCCACGTACTCCTGCGAAGGGAATGGGCAGTCACAAGGATGACACGAGTCAGTCAGTCAGTCATATATATATATATAAATATATATATACAAACTTACACATATACATATATACATATATGTACATGTATATGGCGCTGCAACGCTGCTTACCACGTGCAGCAGGTCTCTCCTGGACGAGCTGCCAGCGGCTTCCTCCATGAATTCCCTCGAGAAGTGCGTGTCCAGGTCCACGTGCGCTCTCATCTCTGGCGTGCGTGCTTTCAGCATCTTCAAGCCCACGGAGAAGAGCCGGCTGTCCATCTGGCCAGGAGGGAGAGAGGGGAAGAGTGGGGGGAAGAGGGGGTTGAAAAGGGAAGCACAGAAGTGAGTGTCCAGGTCAGCATGTGCGCTCATCTCTGGCGTGCGCGAAGCATTCACCATTCACACATGCAACACTGGCAGAACGGGCCACAACGCATTCAAGATCAGCTCACGGAGCACGGCGCATACCCTGGGTAGAAGATCAAAGCCGCCGCCACTGACGCTGATGAGCGCCAGGGATTTCACTCGGTGGGGAGCGGTGGCGGCCACTTTACTGGCGATCATGCCGCCCATGGAGTGCCCCACCACGTGGAAATGCGACCAGCCCAGGTGGTCCGCCAGATGCAGAACATCCCTCGCCATGATTTCCGTCCTGATATTGGAGAAAGAACAAGGGAAAAAGAGCAAATATTGGGACATCGACGAGATAAAGTGCTTGCTGAAATGATAATGCCTGGTATATTGAAATGGCCGATGAGAGGCAACATTTTGCGTCCTTGGGGCCTGGAGCGACAATAGAAAATACGCACGTGTAAGCAGTTTTGTCGATGGGACACGTGCTGTTGCCGATTCCTCGGTTGTCGAAAACGCAAACCTCCCTGCCTGTGAGCGGAAAATCCTCCTCCTCCGCCTCCTCCCCCTTCTCGCCTCCTTCTGTTTCCTCGTGCTCTTGTCCCTCTTGTCCTCCTTCCTCCAGCCGCAAAAACGCTGGCTCAGGCCCACTCCCACCGTCAGTGACGACTTGCACGTCTCTCCGCTCTTCCGCTCCCTCTATTGTCACCGTCACCGTACAGTGACTATTCTCGTTGCAGCCAGACCGGTCGTCCATGCGCATGGCGAGAGGAGCGGCGGTGCAGTCATCGGACGATTCCAAGTTGGTTAGAGCGGCGCTGCAGTCAGCTGAGCCAACGGCCGGTGCTGCAGCAGAATTAGCTGAAGAGGCTGTACCCGTTGAAAGCTTCCCCGCCTTCCGTCTGCTGTTAGGAATGTCGGTGCCTGAAAGGGGCTTGACCTGAGGCCACCAGGCGTTGTGCGTGGCAGCGAAGCCTGCCAGTGGTGGAACGAGAAGGCCAAATTCGTCGGAGGAAGAGACGATAAGACGATAAGACTACGGGATTTCGTCAGACAGCTCGATAAGATCAACAGTACAAGAACGGCAAGGACGAAATTCGTTTCGATTATGGACCAAACAAGCGAACACTCTCAAGCGCGGAAAGGTTTCCGAGGGCCAAATAGTTGACTGTCGACGAACAACCCTTGAATGATTATTCTGATCATGCTTTCAATTATAAGATTCACTTACCCATAATCATGAGCACTTTCGTTTCGCCGCTGCCATAAGTCTCATAGAACAGCTTCACTTGTCCGTCATCGCCGCTTCCTGCCGTTTTCGCACTCGCGCCATTATTCGTATTTTTACTGGTGCGAGAAGTCTTATTGGTGCTGCTAGGAATCACGCAGTACGGCATCTTGCTCCTCTTATTTGATTACGACCACACTTCAGAAATGAGAGGAAATGAACCAAGAAGTAGCTGCGAGAAACAGCTAGTCCGGTGCCGCTGGTTGTTTCTGAAAAAAACCGTAAGGATCGAGAACTACGGCGTGTCGTCAGGAAAACAGGAGGGACGCCGAAAAACAGCAGCCACGGCTAAGAGAAACGGCCAGCCGAGCTGGTAAAGTGCAGATTTCCACTGCGCAAGCGGAGCTATTCAAAGAATTGGCAAGGGACACTGAAGTGGCTGTAATCTACGGTGGTCGCTGTGAGAGAAGCTCGGCAATTATAGGCTGTAATATGATGCATTGGCATGAATGGAGCACAACTTGAGGAAATGACTTCGGTACTGGAAAGGACGGGTCAGTGGCGTGCCATGGCCTGGCGTGGCGTGGCGTGGCGTGGCGAGGTGAGGCTTGTGGGAGGGACGAGATGAGAAGGGGGGGAGCAGGGAGAGGGGGGAATTATGCGCGACTAGGGGGAAGCAGGGTGAGGTTAGAGGGAGGTTAGGGGGAGGTTAGGGGAATTCCATCAGCGGCTGCCTGACATTCTGGTTTTCCCCAGCCTCGTTTTCCCCCGCAACACCACCAATAATGACGAGTCGTTGCGACTTGGAAAGCCATACACCCCTTCATGACGTCAGCACACCGAAGAGTAGCAATGTGTACCGATTTGAAAACGTCCGATAACGTAACGTACCACTTTATGATGTCACCTTCAAACCAAGAAGCTTGGCTTGGAAATTAGCGAGTTTGGCTCCCCAAAGCTGGCCAATTCCCCCCAAGGAGGGAACTGTGGTCTGGGGGGTGGAAGAGGTTAACTGGTTTGAAGTACGGTCAGGTACAGTTAAGTAAGATTGTGCGGGGTGAACTGGAGACGAGTGCAGTGGACGCCAAGCAGGACGGAATCAGGGCTGTTGATTGGTTTGGGACCAATACTTGGGTGGCTGAGGTCCCCCCAAAACAGCCCTGAAATTTCCGGAAAGCGACCGAACTGAGCCCTGAAGCGTACGGGCTGGGGTCCAAACCAGAACTTAAAATCAGGGCTGCGCCGGAGTCTGTACTTTGCTGGAGAGAAAAAAACTTTGTATTCGTACATCCGGATAGGCAAGGTGCTGAGTGGGGAGGCCAGCCTATTTTCGCAGGAGAATTTGTGTGCCAAATCTGTTAGTAGTGCACATCTCTCAGTTATTCATAGGTGTCACGGACTTGGCCAGTTTCTGGGATGCGGGAGTGTGGGAGGGGCTTGTGACTTGCTTTGGAGACGGGGGAGGGGGGAGTGGAAGTGTGGGAGGAGGGGATGTTGGAGTACTGTCTCGGGCTGTGGGGGCTTGTCGAATTCTCTGGGGGTGCGAGGGGGGTGGGAGGAATGTCTGTGGGTGTGGGGGACTTCATCGATTTTCCTATGTTTGGTTGGGGTGTGGGAAGAATGTCTCTGGTTCGGAGGACTTAGAGGAATTTTCTGGCAGGGGGGATTCTCTGGGGGTGCGAGAGGGGTGGGAGGAATGTCTCTGGGTGTGAGGGACTTCGAGGAATTTTCTGAGTTCAGTTGGGATGTGGGAGGGATGTCTCTGGTTTGGAGGACTTAGCCAAATTATACTAGCCGAAGGGGAAGGTGGGGTGGTGTGGGTGGGCAAGGAAGGTAAGCCTAGGTCAGGGTATGTCTAGACCCCGTTACGGAAAATCAGAATAAGGTCTCAACTCCGCCCTGAACGAATCCGGGAAAGTGCCAAACGAAACCCTTAACCATCACGGGATAGTCCCTAATCAAACCCGGAAAGTCGGTCACTGACGGACGGCTTACCTGCAGTATTGAGAGCATTCAGAAAGTTTGCCCTAAAATCGACAGGCCTGGACGGAATGGCGCGAGTATCGGCTCGATGCTGATTGGCCAATCGAACTGAGAGGCTGAACGCGTTCCGATTTTCGCGTTGGCACATTTGGGGAGAGAGGGGGGGGGGGGGGGGGGGGGGGGGGAATTCTCGTTCAGCCAGATTTTTTTTTTTTTTTTTTTCTCTCTCTCTCTCGAAATTCCGAAGGAAACGGCCGAACCGCCAATCTCCCCTCCTTCGCGCCGCCTGCAGCCATCCAAGCGAATTCTCCGACAACCGATTTCCGACCAGAGCGAGGGAGAGACTGGCTCGGCGGCGTCGGTCAGCGCATGGCAGTCAATGGGAAGGTGGCGGAAAGGCTTTGGCTGAGGTTTGGGCTTGAGTACACTACCAAACCAAATTTGTTACGGAACACAGCCAGAAATGCAGACTCAGCCGTGGAGTGTGCGACATAGCTGCTTCTCGGCGGCTTGGCCTCGGGTTCATCGAATGCTCCAGGAAAGTCTGGCAGACCCGAGGGGAAATCCGCACCACTGAATTTCCGTGCTGACGTGGGTCAGGATCACGACTCACGAGTTGCGCCATGCCTTGGACCGATCTGACGACCTTTTGTCAGGAGCCGTCGGACGGCAGCAAAATTGGCGCAAAAGATAAAAGGCGATACAGCTGCTTGGTATTGTCGTTACACTTTGGTGTTAGCGTATTCGCTAAATAGCCACCTTATTGACTATTTATGTACACCAGCCCCTCAGAAATGGATGAAGCCTGTATATCAGTGTTTTTTAGGGCATACCCTGTTTGTTCGGGTTTTGATTTTCATCAAACATGAAATTTATGTGTTCCCCTTTTTAAGCCCTGAAAAATAGTATGTTATTGTTTTAGCGAGTCTGACGAATCAGCCTTAGTTGAAATTCGCCTTGAAACAGAATCCTTTCTGTCACGACGAGCTGGAGCAGGTGTGAGGGGCGTGACTGGTCCTTGTTCAGAATCACGCAAATATAGTCCGAGGCGAGCTGGAGCACGTGTGAGGGGGGTGACAGGTGGTCAAAATGATGCTTGTAGTTTGACATGAGCTGATGTTAGAATACTAGAATGATTAGAAAGAAGAGAGAACAAGGGAGATATAGGATTTGGGTTGTCCTCTCTACGAACACACACCTATTCTAGCCTTTAACTTCTACATGCAAATGTATGTATAAGTTGACACACCCCCTAGGCTAGATAAGGGGTAGTGCTGAGCAAAAAGCACACAGCTCAGGGTGGCAGTACTAGTCCGACCTCTGAGACAAGGGTCCGAAGACCAGTCAGCAAGAGTACAAACAAGACAGGAGCAAACCAGGGTGGCACTACTAGTCCGACCACTGGAAGAGAAGCCACAAGGCCAGTCTGAAAGATATATATAAACAGGAGTATACAATCAAGATCCTAGCAAGTGAGAGTCTACATGAACTAAACCAAGCTGTAAACAATGCCGCTAATGATCTTTAGACGCAAACGCCTCAGTAAAGATATCAAGTGTGTTGGCACCGGAGGCCAAGTGTACGATGCGGGCCTGGCGGCGCTGCTGTAGCTTACGAAGGAGGAGGTATCGCAGCTGGATGTGCTTCGCTCTGCCCTCAAGTCGAGGCTCCTGACACAGGAGGATCATGGCCCTGCTGTCAGCGTACAGGACCGGGGCAGAGCTAGGCCGCTCACCTAAGTTGGTGAGCAAGAACGTCAGCCAGCGGAGCTCCTGTGCCGCCATGGCACCGGCGTAGATCTCAGCCTCACAGCTAGACTGGGCAACTGACGAGGAGCGAGTGGACCTCCATGAGATGGCACCCGAACCAAGGCTAAAACAGTAGCCCTGGGAGGACCTGAGGGTCTCAGCGTCGTCTACCCAAAAAACGTCTGTGTGCCCAGTAAGGACCACCAGCTTGCGTCCTCCTTGCACAACCCCCCTCCCTGATGTACTCACTAGATGACGCAAAACCCTCTTGGCAGCGGACCACTGCTGTGATCGGTGTCTGCCTGTGGCCACAAAGCGAGTCAGGATGCTGAGAGGGTATGCGAAATCGAGACGAGTGGAAGTCATCAGGTACATGAGGCAACCCACCAGCTCTGCGCAAGGACACCTAGGCTCTACTGACTCCTTAGGAACTTGAGCCCAGAGCCTGTGGTCTACTAGCAGAGGTGTGGGGTCTGCAGAGGAGAACTGAAGACCGAACCTCCGAAGGACCTGGCGCACCAAGTGTGACTGTGTGAGAGTAATGGTGCGCACTGCTCTGTCCCTGGAGATCTGCAGGCCAAGATAACAGCGCAGCTCTACTATGTCAGTGCAGGTGTGTCTCCTCAGTAGCTCGGCCTTTACGGAGGCCAGCACGTCTCTGTCTGCAGTAGAGAAGACCAAGTCGTCTACGTAGACAAGGATGTGGAACGGAATCTGACCAGCAAGAAACGAAGAGCAAAGGGTCTGCAGAGGATGGAAAAAACTGCAGGTCAGCTAGCATAGCACACAGCGTATCGTGCCACCCACGGAGCGCCTGTCGAAGGCCGTAGACGGGGCGCCGGAGGAGCCACTGGGTCCCATGAGGGAAGGTACCGGTGAAGCCCTGCGGTCGGCGCAGGTAGACCTGCTCGTGTAGGCTGCCCTGAAGAAGAGCAGTGGAGAAGTCTAGGGAGTGGAGCATGTAGTCATGCTGTGCTTCTACATGTGGCAGCGCCTGAAGAGTAGTCATCTTCGGGGTCAGGACGAAGGTCTGAAAGAATTCCACCCCCTCTCGTTGACTGAAGCCTTTAGCCATGTAGCGCGCCTTCAAGGCAGGCGGCTCTCCATGGGGGCGCTTCACCGACTACGTTCACCCCAGGTGGGGGAACTGCGTCGACGTAGGTGCCGGTGGATCTCCAAGATGCCATATCCTGCTCCATGGCAGCTATCCACTGGGAGGCCCAAGATCCCGAGGTCGCCTCAGCGTAAGTGCGAGGGGTCGGGATGTCAAAGGCGTCTGGGTCACCCTCAGGGACTAGCAGCATGGAGCAGAGATGAGGAGAAGCCTCGGACAGGAAAGCAAGCTCGTACTGCCTGTCCTCTCAGACGTCACTGCCAAGGGCAGAAGAGCCCCGACAGACGGAGGAGAGACAGGGTCAGAGACCAGAGTGGTGGAATACTCAAGGCGGCGGGTAGAGGCGAAGTCAGAGATAGTAGCGACAAGAGCGTCAAGACTGGAGACAGGAACAGACGGATCGGTAACGAGGGAGGCAAGGACCCGAGGAACAAGAGGACGAGCGTCACGAAGGTAGTCAGACAGAGGGGGAGGCGCGACAGCGAGCGACGATGGAGGAGGCGAGGGGAGAAGGGGAGGACGAGACGCGTGGGAACGAAGCAACATAGGGTGAGAATGATGAACGGGAGAGACAGGATGAGCACGAGAGGGACGGCGAGACCAGACGTGAGACGGAGGTGTCGGGTCAGGAGACAAAGGAGGAG